AGAGAGAGAGAGAGAGAGAGAGAATTTTTAATATATATTTTTTAGTTTTCGGCAGACACAACATCTTTGTTTGTATGTGGTGCTGAGGATCGAACCGGGCCGCACGCATGCCAGGCGAGCGTGCTACCGCTTGAGCCACATCCCCAGCCCCCAGTGAGGTGTTTAAACCTAGGTAATTAAAGCGCAGTTGGAATAAGAAGAGGGGATGAACTAAGACTTCGAAAGAAAATAACTTTGGAAGCTCATTGGAAATTTTGGAAAACACTTTCAGGAAATCAAGAAAAATGCACAATCTTATAAATAATCTGTTTTTTAAAAATTGAGATTATTAATGATTCTTACCGAGGGTTGGAAGGAGAAGGTGGATTCATTTCTTTCTGGTAGTGACGACCCTGGTTGACAGGCTATAAAAGATAAAACATTTGTGAGGCAGGTGTTAATCAGGACAATGCTCTTTAGATAGACTTTCACACACATTCCCAATGCTGCATTCCGCCCCCCTCCCCCAAGACGAGACACAATCTGCAAGAAGGGGCTGTGTTTATTTTGCAGAACAGGCAAGGGATCTCCCTGAGACCCAACAAATAGCAGAGTGATATAAATGAGAAAACACGGGGGTTCCTTTAATGGTCAATGACTGGACTAAATAGCATCTATGGTGTTGTTAAAATTCACGAGTCAGAATCCTTTATACTGCCAACAGTGGTGGATATGATCCAATAGAAACAAGATATCTTGTGGAAGTAAAAGGTGCATTGCAAGCAGAGACCCAGAGGTACAGGAGTCTGCTTAGGTCTCAATGTGAGCATGCTGGCAAGGAGAACTCTGTTCACTAATGAGCGTTGCATGTGTAAATCTTAGGGCACGGTGGTCATTTTCCCCAGTACAAGACAACTGTGAGGACTGATCCAGGGAGCTGAGAAAAGTGGTGGCAGCACCTACAAAAGTGGGAAATCTCAACTTTTCCCTCTACAAGGCACCTTTCAGTGTGGATTTCATGACATAGCTACACCCTGTGTCCTATGTAGCCTTCAACGCTGGCCTCTCACAGAACTTCATCTTTCCTCCTTGCCCTAGGATGGGAGAAGATTCCATCGTGTGGAGTACAAATTCTCCTTTGAACATTGGCTCTTGGTATGTCTCTTGTCCCATTAACAACAGTTGAGTTCTACTATGAAAATTACTGTTCACATTCTCATTTCACTACCAGTGGAATTTGGTACTCACTTCTGAATTCCATTCCTAATGTGACTTCCTTAGTCAAAGGGGCCCTGTGTGGACTTGTAGTTCCAGGCCACGATGTTGGCCAAGGGTTGTGGCAATGATGCCAGTACATAAAGAGCCCATCTTCCTTACTCTCCGCATCTTCCTTATTTTAATAGATTCTAAAATATTAATGGCGGGGGTGATGGGAATTCTTCAGAGTAAACCGTCTTCCTTTATAAATAATCTCTTGGAAGTACTCCTTTAATTTAAATCAAATGCCCGTCTGATAATCACAGCCACTGAGCCTGCCTACCTGTGATGCGCCATGAATTTCAATGTGCCCAGGTACTTTGGTAACTAACCAATATCAACGCATCAACATTTCAGTAATAAGAAACAACAGCTGGGAGAACGGTGGGAGGAAAACCATGTCATAAGACATATTTGATCTCACTAGAGAAATAAGACTCTCAGCAATTTGCAAGGGAAATTTCGTTTTGTGATTTAGGCTTTATTATTTCCCAGCAAAAAAAAAAAAAAAAAAAAGAGAGAGAGAGAGAGAGAAATTACCAAGCACAGGGCCAAACAGTTTCCCAGGACCAACTCACACCGTGTAGTAATACTCCCCATGATAAATTTATTGGTATTCATTCGGTATTTCAGCTACACTCAGGTCCCCAGTCAGTGGACTTCTGCCTATTGGACTTCTGCCTATTTATTTTCAGAGGTGTTTCCATAACTCTCTAGACATTATCGACCTGATATTCAGCCAAATGTCCACTTATTAATTTTATACTATTAATTCTGTTTATCCTCATCCCAAGACTTTATTCTAAATAGCTTACTCCATCCCTGGGAAACCTCTATCTTGTTTGAGACTTTAGCTCTCACTTTAGACTATACATATTTGGTCCCATTTATATAAAACAGATTTAGTGATACCAGGAGTAAAAAAAAATCACATGCACAGAGACTTCTAAGTGTTAGAAAATAAATAAAAACAACCTGGGAAGCTTCTCAAAGCAATAAGAACTGCTGACATGAATAGATAGAAAGGTGGAGCACCTGTGTCCATCTGAAGCAAGTTGTCCCCACCCACAAAGGCTCAGGACAGTCACTCAAATGCCGCACCTCGGCATTTGAGAAAATGGCAGAAGCAGGAAGGTCACTCTCACCTTCCCTTGCTCTTCTCCTCTGAAGACCTAGGGAGGGTTGTCCATCCTGCCTCGGAAGCAGGTCACAAGACCCTCATGGCAGAGGCCACTTCTCCCCAGAAGAAAGGAGCCTCCTTATCTCTGGAGGGCAAGACCTCACCGAGAAGAAATGGAACAAAGGCCTTGTTCAGTTTCTTCCAGTTCATTTCCACTAAATCATCTCCGCTTTGTCCAACTGCCTTTCTCTATGACTTTCCATTCTTTGTCAAGCCCAGTATAAAAACAAGCAGGTTTTACAATTTCTGTGGTCTTCATTTCTTTACAAAGGCTCCTGTGTCATGCAACACTTAAATACGTTTGCATGCTTTTCTCTTATCTTTTATTAGAAGGGCCTCAGTCATGAACCTAGGATAGGGGAGGAAAAGATATTTTTTCCTCACCCACTCTTCCTGTCCATACACAGCAGCAAATCTGTTTTTATGCAGGTAACATCCTGTAAGAGTATCCATACAGAAAATAAAATGTGTTGTTTTCTGATTTTGGAATGCAGTCACATTTAGAGGATACCATAAGTAGATACAAAGAGAAAGAAACCAATATCTAAAATAATAACAGCAGTAACTGGTATTTCTTGAGCATTTATTCCATGCAAATTTTTTTTAATCTAATGTCATCTTTATTTCAGATAAAGGAAAATAACACTAATTGTTAAGATTGACAAAGAATTAATTTCTAATTGCATTGAGAGGAAAAAAATAACAGACTAACAAAATGATAACCTTTACATGACTGAACTCATTATTCTTGAAATGCGGTGCAGATACTTGGTGTTGGTTTTTTAGTGTGTTTATAGAATTGGATCCATGCAAATTCTTGATAGATATTCTCTCATTGGATCCTCAGAGCATTTTTATGAAATAAACAGAACTAACAACTCTGAACCAGGGAGGAGGACATCTATACACTGGGTACTAGCCCAAGGTCATGCCTTCCAGGAAGCAGGGGTGATAGGCTGTGGACCCAGTCCATCTGATTCCACAGCTCATCCTTTGAAACACTACACCTTAGTGTTTATCTCAGCTTGGGAGTTTACACTGAGGATTTAATACAAAAGTTTTTGAATAATAAATGTGGCAAAATCCATTCAGTGTATAAAGGGGGGGGGGGAGAAATAGTCTACAAATATACTTATTTGACATATATATAACTACTTCCTTATTATAAATTAAATGGATTTGATTTACTCCTCATGAGATGTCACTATATATTTAAAAAGAAAAAAATAAGTTTTGCCACACTTGCTAAATTTGGGGGCAAACATAAGATATAACACATAGTACTCTGAGACTAAGAAGTTTTATTCCCTTGAGTGACTTTCATAGTCACTAAATAGAATCATTCATGCATTTCAGTATTTTTTTCCTGACAGCATAGATATTATACTGGCTCTAATATCAGCTTTCATATATCATTTCTATCATTATATAAGTACATCTGCTCTCCTAATTTATCAATAGCTTAGCACAATCAACTACTTACCTTTTAGATTTAGGAAGATTAAAAGAAAACTCATTACACCCAAAGAGAGCTGAGAAGTTAATGAATCTGTAGTTCAGAACGAATGAAGACCTATTAATTATATAGTGCCTGAAATGCCAGTATATTGTGTTTTAGACACACGGCAGCCAGCAATCCTGCGAAACGCAGATGTGCTCTTGTGGAAAGAAATGGAACAGATCCCAGGAAACCTGGACCTTGTCCTTTTGGTGGCGCTGTTGCTATGCACAAGCGCCGGGAAAACAGCACTCATAAAATTAACTACCAAGGAGCAGGAGAAGCTTTGCTTTTTCTATGATCAAGCTGCTAGAAATTTGGGGGTGAGGGAGAGAAGTGAAAGCTAAATAAAAGAACAAGAGATAAGATAATCCTGCTATGTTAAAAGGTAAAACAATATTTTTATAAAAACCTATGAAAATGGCAATAATGTGAGGTTCATCAAGACCATAAATAACTTGTCTGAGAACCTCACCATATGCTTGTAATTTTATGAAGTGCATTTTGCTTCATTTTTCTCCAAATATTATGCTCTGCAACATGCCACGCTGATGGATGCATGAGATAAGTTTTCTTCCCTCCCTCACTCCTTCCCTTCCTTACTCCCTAAGCTGAGAAGACTTACATGGTTTGGGGGCATCTGCTCACAGGGTGGCACACATTAGGTATGCTTCTCTCGAATCTAGGTTCGTGGAAGGACAGAAAAATAAAAAAAATACCGAAATAATGAAAGAGCTCATCTGTAAAGCTCTGTGGGGGTCAGTGTTCATGTCCATGTTTAAGTTCACATTAAAACAAACCTGGGAGAATCTCTGCCTACCCTATAGCCCTCGGTAGCCATAAAAATGAAAAATGTCCTAGAAATCTCTTGCAATCACTCAAGTGGCCGTTACTCAGGAGAGTAGCAGTTTACAGTCAACGTGAGCTTATTCTTCAAAGCCCTGGGCATGTGCATTCTGTACACAACGGCAATACGAAGGATCTCTTTTATGATTCCCATTTTACAGGTGATGCCAGTAAATGACAAAGCAGGGATTTGGGCCCAGGTAGAGTTTATGTCCTTTTGGTCATCACATAAGCTGTGTACATTAATGCCTATTCCTTTTCCTTAAGATGAACACACACACACACACACACACACCCCACAGGCATGGCAAAGTTTTATGTTCTTGTCAAATAAAATCTCCACCAAGATAAAACTCATTTAGAAATTCATCACAGGTAATTCATTATTCCCTTCCTAAGGCTTCGTAGAACCCAGGGTTTGGATAAATCTCATGAGATCTACTCCTAACACAAACCCTCCAAAATTGATTACTTGCAGCCTGGTTTCCACAGAAGTTATAACATATTGTTTTAATTGAATTTTTTAAGTTAAAAAACTTTGAAAAACTTGTTTGTCAAAGGCCAGTGGATTTCTCAGGAGGTTTGATTTATTTAGTAAGAGATGCCCACAAAAGCCAATTTGCTGTTGCTATGAGAAATATGGT